AACAATTTTAAAACCAGCGTGAATGATTCTATAAAAATAGCGAAAAAATCTAACACAAAAGAAATTGAGTTTCAAATTGAATTAACGCAATTGAAGAGGAAGAGATTAAAATCCACAGTGTTTAAGTAAATCAATAAGCTTTTCATTTATGCACATTGGTTAAATGTTTGATATCAATACGATGTATTGGGACCCTACTTTTAAAACTCTTTTGGTGGACAAATCGCACAAAACTTCGTTTCAGCATAATATATCGATGATAGAAATTTTATGAAATATTTTCCTCAGGTCATTAAAGATCTTATAACCTTAACATACATTCCGTGCCAATTACCATACACACCATTAAACATTAACATCTATTGCCATGGTTTCATTATGCCAAACAAATTCAAAGATAATATCTAATAAGCAATATATTATAAACTGACTTTTTATTGGCTCAACAATACCGTTTGCCGAGAGTTAATAATCCATTAAAGGGCATTATCCTGTCAATTATACGGTTTTTTATTTATGTTCAGGTTGGTATTAAACTTGAAATGAATAATGGCAGGTGTAATTAGTCATTGAGGATCGTGTTTCTTTAATCGAGATTCCTTAATTGATCGTAATGTGGATAAAATGTTTTAGCACTTTGCAGAAAAACGGAGTAAAAATTATAGTGCATTTCTTGATATTTGAGAGTACGCAAAAGTATTAAAAACATTGCTTATTACGTTCAAAGTACACGAAAAAAATATGTTTACTTTTACGAATGGGCAACCTACTACAGCTTATAATAATTGTACATTTAATATTGTTAACAAATGAATAAAGAGTATGTTTCGTTGATATGGTACATTAATTGTCTCGTGAAATAGTCTTGTCGAATATTATTCGAGAGAAATTTTTTTCTGGTTTTATTCGTTTGTTGCCTTTTGGCATTTTTAATGTATGGAATTTTGATATGTCAGCTTTTGGATATAAAATAAAGCTACTGAACTGTCAGAGTCAGACGTCAAGAAATGAGGTATACACTGTATATGAATTGAACAAGTTACAACTTTTATCAACCAGTTGACGTCTTTTTCATCATCTTTTATCAACAAACACAAATAAATATTAAATAAAACACGCCAGACTGATCAATAATATGCAAATAATAATTATAATCATGTGACAACGGGCTGATTCGTTTATACACGTGTCTCAGAAAAAACGCAGATAAAATTAGAGAAAAAATGTCGACGTTTATGCACAATTAATTGTAAACAATAATATTGTGAATCATTTTTTAATATTATGTAATATTGATCAGTTGCAGTTTTTATAATGAGTGTAGATAGATTAGTAAGATTCTGGGAATTTTAGAGTTCGAAGATAGGAATCCTATGATTCAATAAAATTATAGTTTGTTATTAATTTGTTTAAATCCAAAACAAAACTGCTATTTTAGGTTAGTTGGCTAAAAATTGTAGACTATATTGATGAAGTCTCTTATTAGATTGATTCTCATATTGTTCCTTCCCTTAGAATACCCCAAGAGCAAACTTCATTTTCCAAAAGTAGAGGTAGTCAAAAACATCTTCTGAATATAAGAGAATTAATAGTAAAATCTAGGGAATTCAATATCCTACTGTACATTTGATTTATAAATTATCGCAAAACGTTCGATAGGGTCTAATGGCAACACTTTTGATAGGATTTATAAAAAGATAGTAAAGATCATTTCCTCAGGATTGGTGTACATACATAATGGCATTACGTTAAAATTTTTACATTCTTGTAACATATTTGAGCAGTGAAAAATAAAAACAACCCTTTCAAATACATCTTTGACATATTCCTATGTATCTTAATGTAAAACTTTGTCCTCTTATTGAACAAACCCAAAACAAATCCCCCAAAATATTTTTTCAAAGCGGGTTAACATAACAAACCAACTTGCGTCCCAACAAAAGAAACTGTCACAACAATTCAATAATAAAGAAAGTAGAGATCAGAATTGAAAGAACAGACCATTACCTCAACACACCCATTTTCCTATCTCCGTCCTCGTCTAACTAATCCGTAATCAGGTTCTAGTGAATAACAAGGCATGCATATTTCTCGCTATGACTCTAGTATCTCTTAATATGGACGTACCTGAAGTCTTGAGTACCTACCTATCTTCGAAATAGACACTTTGAGAGACACAACCACCCACAGAGATTAAAGTTTATTGTTTTGTGAGGAGAATTAGCTGCTGTTTCTTTATATAAACGTAGAATATATTTACTTTATACCTTGGTCAAAGAATATGCTTTATTTATCACTCTTTTAAATCTGTTGTTAAAAAATGTATGCTGTAGATATAAAATTATGTTTATTTAATATAATTTTTTTTCGCGAAATAATACGAAGTTAACCAAATTTTTAGACTTGCTGTCAAGTTTATTAAGGAAATATTTTCTAAGTATATGATTTAGACACCAAATGTCAAAATAAAGTGTTTCCTATATTCAAAGTACCGTTAATTACCTATTATACAGTTAATGCAACACAAGAACTGCAAAAATAGTACCAGAACAATATTAAAGTGTTCTGATATTGATGGACAATCCGCAAACAATAATATAATGATGGAAACATAGAGTAAAATATTTTAAAAAAAGATCTGAAACATTTAAAAATGATAGCACAGAAAGAATGATAATAAGCACACCCAACATCTGGCTAGTTATTCCACCATACGCTATAAGATTAGCAATAATGTGCGATGGTTCTAAATCTGAACTTATAATAAATCAAACGAGTTTTATAAAGCTGTCACCAAAATACGTTGCTCAGACCTGAAACATAACATTACTCACATCCAGTAATGCATTGGAAACAGCAATTGGAAGTTACTTAAAGACTCCCATTAGCCCCATTGAGAAGCTTACGCAGAGGCCAATAGTAAAACAGACTAACATTGGAACACACGTGGAAAACCCTTGCGAACCATCAGTGGATTCCAGAGGACTAGTGACTATATTCATTGTTATGTTAATTGTCATTAGGTGGAAGGTAGTCAGATATCTTCAGAATGTCAAGAGAGCCAAAACACAAAGGCATCTAGGTTCCTGCATCCCGCTTCATCCAGATCCTTGAAGGCCAATATGTTCAATCACAAATTAATCAATAATTTGTAATCTCACATTAATGTTAATTTTCTAAATTTGCATAGTTTCACCGTGTATAATTGTGAAGCATATCAATTAGTACCTTAATTAGTTTGTTCAATTTCCAGCAAAATATAGATTGCCCAATAAGTATTGAGGAAATGCTTGCAATCATCTCTTCGGTTCAAGTTATATTTGCCAGCATTTAAAAGTCAAAGGTTTTTGTTCTATGTAGAAGGCAATACACTTATTTGATGAATCGAAGCATTTTAGTGAGATTATAAATATAGCTTTAGGACTACTTTGGGAGGCAGTCCATTAGAAATTTTTACCTCAACAAAAACTATAGTATAATAATTCAGTAGCTGACATTAAAACTAGAATGGGACACAGGAAATTTTGAATTGTTTCCAATTGTTCACTATGTATACAGGGGTAACCTAACAAAGAAGAATCAACTTCCTTTGTATTCCTTTTTTAATCTCATTGTTTTAAGTCTTTTTCCTTAAATTTTGGTGGTCTGCTTACTTGTCTCCCTGTGAATAGTTTTTTAGCTTTTCTTCTTCTTCTTCTACGGCACTACAGCCCAAAATGAGCCTTGGCCTCCTTTATTTTTTGCCTCCACCCTTGTCTGTCTGTGGCGGCTCTTCTCCATACACGGACTCCTAAAAGTGCTTGTGCGTCGCTGCTTACTGTGTCTTCCCAGCGCTTTCTTGGCTTTCCAACTGGTCTCTTTCACTGCATTCTGGCGTTCAGTGCTCGTTTTGGTAGCCTATCCTCTCGCATTCGTATCACATGTCCGGCCCATTGCAATCTTTGGATTCTAATGAAGTTTGACAGGGGTGTTTCCTTATACAGTTTTTAGCTTTTGCTCTATCCTATCTTGATTACTTTCTTTCTGGCAATCTGTTGTAACAAAAACTCTTCAAAATCTAACCATCTCCAATCCTTGGCATCCTCTAATATCTTGGCTTCATGTTTTTTCCCTAAAACTCCAACTATTATTGTTAATATGCTTATTTCAGTCTCTTTCATTATTTTGTTTGTTGTTGATGTTTCGGCGCTGGAGTTTCTTCAGGCCTTGTCTCCCAGGTATCCGTTGACACTTAAAGCGTTTATCTCTTGTGTTCGAATCTCTTCCATCGAGTCTATTTCACTTAATACTACCACTTCTAGATCTAAAAACCTACTCCTAGATCCAGATTTGCCGTATAATGCGCCAAGTAATTTGCCAGAATGATTTCCAATCTCCGATAGAAGCCAAACTTGAAGAAGATCTACAAAATAGTCTAGAGCTGGCTTGAGGAATATCAAAAACCACCATCCAGAAAAAAGCCTATATCCAAACACAACGTAGCTCTTAGCTTAGAATCCTAACAGACTTCCTTACTAGACATGCATCAATCAGGAGACACCTCCATACAATGGGACTTTGCAGTAGAAAATTGAAACAGTCGACCGTATCTTGCGTAAATGTCGTGTATTAATTTATAAGCAATGACAAGTTGAGACGACTTGACACCCACCGGTCAGAAAACTTTTGGCTTATCTTGCAATATCACTCTTGGTACAAGGTTGGTACAAGGTTCTAGAATTCTGAGTTCAACTTATGTTGTTGTCGTTAAATTACCGAACATATAATACGATGTTAGACTAATAATAATTAATTTCAGGGTTTTTAGGGTTTATTTTATAATAAAAATGACTTAAGTCAGTGGTCCATCTTACAGGACTCTCGAAATACCACATGTTGGGGTTCGCTCGCCCTCGCACTTCAGAGGCGCAGCATCAGGGGTTGGTTCATTACAAGTTTTATTTAAATTTGATAGTTTTACTAGTAATCCTAGTAACCTAATACGCTGTTTTTTGTTTCAGGCTGACTAAAATGAATTTAAGTAACAGTTTCTGGCTGGTGGTTCTGGCCGTCCTCGAATGCTGTTGGAGGACAGACTCATCGAACGTTCCCAAAGAAGTCAAAGACCAAGTAGAAAGCAATTTGTTATCGTTATTCGGCTTCAAAGGTCGGCCGAAAGTTGACAAATCGAAAGTGGTGATACCCCAGGCGATGATCGAGTTGTACGAAAGGCAGATGGGGTTTCCCTTGGACACGACGTCTTTTCCCAAAAAGGGATGGCACACGAAGAATGCGAATACCATTCGAAGTTTTACGCATGTCGGTAGGTACTGCATTGAGGTACCTCTTGATTATTTTTCTTTTAAATTTATAACTAATTATTACATTATGATTTGGTTTTCAAAACTAACGATTCTACCATAACAGAAGTCATTTGAGCATTTTGCTCTTATTCTGCATATTTATATATGTTTTTAGTTTTATGCTGTAATGGTACTTAGCTGAGTAAAGCTTCGATGATTTTCTAAGTACGTCCAAAAAAGTACTATTTTGTGATGGCTTATAATATCGAATGCTTTCTCGAAGTCGACAAATATCAAAGTCAATGGTTTGTTGTATTATGCACATGTGCGGCATCTAACTTCACTTTCGGAATTTTGAGAAATAACACTTACAGATTGCTGCAATTCGAGTTCCTGAACTTGCTGAAAGCAGTTAAAAGCTAGACTAATAAAACAAAAATTCTTTAGAAATATAAATGGACTGTATATCAAAATATCCAGCAGAACAAAAATATGAAATGCTTAAAACAACGACTCGGTAAAACTCAGATAAATGAAATGACAAAGAGCGAAGGAACAACCATTAATGATATGAAACAAATAATAAAGTCGACACAAGAATACTATACGCACCTATACAGAACAAGACATAAACCACAGCAAGAAATTCTTAAATAATTAAACACAAAAATAAAAAATATAAACTCTGACCTACAACCAGAAATAAGTAAAGCAGAAATCAAGAAAGCAATTCAAGAATTAAAAAACCATAAGTCACCTGGAAAAGATGGAATAACTGTAGAGATACTGAAGAGAGGAGGGAAAACAACTAAAGAAGTCCTACATATCCTCATGAACAAAATATTGACCACAAAAGAAATACCCGATAGCTGGAACGATGCGGAGACACTATTAATGTTCAAAAAAGGTGACCGAAAGAACTTAGAACACTATAGACCTATAACATTACTAAGTGTTGTATTTAAACTACTAACGGAAATCATGACAAATAGACTAACAACTAAACTTGACGAATACCAAGTAAGAGAACAAGCGGGATTCAGAAAGGGTTTTAGTACTAGCGACCATCTGCTAACAGTAAAAATACTGATTGGAAAGTCGAACGAGTATCAAATCCCATTATACATGGCATTCATAGACTTCCGAAAGGCGTTTGACAGCGTAGAACATTGGGCCATCAAAAAGTCACTACAGAACGGCAGAATTGATTACAGGTACACGGACCTAATAACAAACATATACAAAAATGCGAGTACCACAATAAAATTGACGAACGAACACGCTACAGAACCAATAAAATTCGAAAGAGGAATCAGGCAGGGAGACACAATATCGCCAAAATTGTTCAATCGGGCTATGGAAGACATATTTAAAAAATTAGAATGGGATACATACGGAATAAGAATAAATGGAGAGCTCTTGAACCACTTGAGATATGCAGACGATATAGTCCTGATAACAGATAAGAAGGAAGAGTTAGAGAAGATGGTTGAGGAACTAGATAGAAAAGTGACAGAGGTAGGTCTAGAGATGAACTATAGAAAAACCAAGACTATGACAAACCAAGAAGACCAATTAGAAATAGTAGTCAAACAGAATAAATTAGAGCAGGTGGCAGAATACATATGCCTAGGACAGATAATAAAGCTGAACAGGGACAATCAAACAGAAGAAATAAAAGGAAGAACTAGACTAGAAATGGGCCTCATTTGGTAAACTATCATATATTCTAAAAAAATAAAAAGTTCCCTCAATATATGCGAACGAAAGTATTCAACCAGTGCATTTTACCAGTTATCACATATGGCTCACAAATGCTGGGTGTCGGTCTTAAAGACAGGAAAAGAAACTCATGGATCAGAGAAAAAACAAAGGTGAACGATGTATCAAGACAGGTTGCAAAACTTAAATGGAACTTCGCCGGTCACACTCTCCGGCAAAAAGATGAAAAACGGAATAAGCGAATTCTACACTGGAGACCATGGGAAAAGAAAAGAACAAGAGGAAGACCACAGATGAGATGGACTGACGATCTTAAGAGAATGGCAGGAAAGGACTGGATGCAGATCGCCTAAAATAGAGACCAATGGAGATTAACAGGAGAGGCCTATGCCCAAGAGTGGGCATTTAAGGCTGATTAGATATATATATATATATATATATATATATATATATATATATATATATATATATACCACTTATAATGTCCCGTCATTATGGTTCATACAAACTGCAGCATTACAAGTGCACAAAATGGAATAATATGGAAAGCTACCCATCCACATAACTGAAAGGAGAAGAGAATATAAACATGAAAAGGATTTACAGTTGTTGTAAGTGTCGTATCTTCATAAGAAGAAATCTTTAGAAAAAGCCATAAAAGCTAGTGAGTAAATCTCAGAGTTAACTACCAGATTCCCACGATAACGTATCTACTTTATTTAATAGTTTTCAGAAAATTTCGGAGCGTTAATAGTTGTGGAATCCATGTATTTTATATGAAATGTAGTCTTTCTACGTAAATCGTCAGGTAGCCATAAATATTACTCCCAGCTAGTACAACACAATTATTATAGCTTTTAATAAGTGTAGGTATGTCAAATAGAAAATTATGGGTAATATTTTTCACGAAGAATGTGCATTTGCCAGGTGTGCTCCTTGAAATATTCATAGTAAAATACGCTTACTAAGAATCATGTTATTAATGGTTTCCCAGTATATTAATTTGTAAATTAATTCAACTACTTACAGTTCTGTTATAGTATGAGACTTTGTTTACCAGTTTTATTTTTAACGTTTTATAAAACTTTTAAACAAACTCGATATTCTCACATTCTACTTTGTTCACGAATAATGTCTAGTTACAAGAGACGCGTTTTAAATATGATGCAAAAATTTACTTAATTCAATTATTGCTGGCCGTATCTAAAATCCCCAGGATGTAAGAGGCTACCAAGAACGACGAACGTTGCACATAATTACGTATTATGTACGAACATTATCTAAGGATGAAAAAGTGACAGAACTGGAGGAAGAACTCAAACATGTGAAATGTGATATTATAGGAATTAGCGAAGTCAAAAGAAGAGGTGAAGATCAGGTCAAACTAAAATCAGGAAACATATTCCACTATAAAGGGAAAACGGAATCGACAACTGGAGGAATAGGTTTATTAGTACACAAAAAATTACAGAAAAATATACAGAGCATTGACTGCATTTCCCCAAGAGTTATGTATATTAATCTAAGACTAAAAAAAGATACAATCTAAAAATGATGTAGGTATACGCTCCCACCAGCGATTACGAAGATGAAATTGTCGAAGCCTTCTATGAGGAAATCAAAAGAGCAAAAAAGCAGGAACCGGCTCATTACAATCTGATAATGGGAAATTTTAACGGGAAACTCGGAAGGAAAAAGGACGAACAAGAAGTGGCAATCGGAGATTTTGGAATCGGAGTAAGAAACGAAAGAGGCGAAATGCTTACCAACACTCTACTGTTTACCAACACAAACTATGCAATGAACACCTTTTTTAAGAAGAAACATAATAGAAATGAACTTGGGCTAGTCCAGACGGAAGAACTAAGAGCGAATATGATTATATAATAACAGACAAAAGTAAATTATTTAAGATGTCACTGTACTCAATAAACTATAAGTAGGAAGCGACCACAGATCAGTAAGAGCTAGAGTCACGATAAATCTACCAAAAGAAAGAGCAAAGATGATAAACAGTTGCAAACGCATAGTTTGGAATTCACCAAATCATCCAGAAGCATACATAAAAAATATAGCCGAAACTTTACAGAGTATTGTTGTTGTTTGTTTGTGTTTAAATGACTGCGGACACTAAATCCATTCGCCAATCTTACAATTTGAGGTGTAGTGTGTGTGTGTGTGTATGTAGAGTAATTGTCTTGATACTTAGCAAAGTCGACGTCATGGTCTTTGCTAAGAGACGCTAATTGTATCCGAACGTCTGCGGTCCCTCCGGTGTGTATATACAGAGTAATAATCCCAAACCTCTAAGTATCGACGATCACAATAAATTAATAACAGACTTGGTTAGAAATGCACAACTCAAATTTTGCAAGTGAAATGACACCAAAAGTGAAAAGATTAGCAAAGATACAAAAGCTCTCATGGAAATACTACGAAACCTAAGCGAGAACGAAAAGGGAAACAAAGAAGAATATAAAAAACTAAATAAAAGAATTTCAGCGGAAATTAGAAAAGATATAAGAAGATATAATACTAATGTAATTACTCAAACAGTAGAAGAGTACAAAGGTTTAAAGATAATGAGAAGAAAACTCACACAAAGTAAAAAAGAAATATTTAAGCTGAGAGATAAAGACGAAAAGGCAACAACAGATAAGCAAAAAATTCTAAAAATAACCAGAGAGTTTTATAAAGACCTCTATACCAGCCAAAGACCACAAGACAATTTCTCGACAGGAGTAAAGACTCTCATAAATCAGGGATCGGAAATACTTTTACAAAATTACTATGTCAGAAGTAAGAGCAGCTTTAAGGGAAATAAAGAACCATCGATCGCCTGGTGATGATGGACTCGTTATCGAGGCAATAAAAGCAGGAGGAGAAATTTTTATTAAAATGAGTAAGCGAACTGTTTAATAAATGCTTACATGCGGGTACGATTGTAAAAGACTGGAACAATGCAGTAATAGTCTTGTTACACAACAAAGAGGCTGGTGTTGTTACACAACACCAGCCTCTTGACATATATGTACAAACTCTTTATGAAAATCTTAACAAAAAGGCTAACAACTAAACTTGGTTTCTATCAGCCCAAAGAACAGGCAGGCTTCAGGGCAGGATATAGCGCAAATGACCATTTGCATACCATAAAGATCTTAATAGAAAAGTGCATCGCGTACAACATACCATTAGCTCTTGCATTTATCGATTACAAGAAGGCTTTTGATTCTGTAGAGTTTGAAACAATACTGGAAGCCCTAAATCAAAGCCGGATAGATTACAGGTACACGACACT